TCGGCGGGCGCCAGGGCCAGGTGGCCGCCAGCCGGGAGCGACGGGTCGACGAGGTGCGACTGCTGCGTCGTGGTCGCGGCTGAAGTCCGGGTGTCGACGAACGAGGAGCGTGCGTAGGTGGTCGGGGTCGGGGTCTCGTAGCCGGGCGTGGTCGGTCGCGAGAGCGGGAGGAGGCTGCCCTCGAGCGCCCTGGCCGACTGCTGTCGCTCGCTGAGGAACTTGGCGATGATGAAGGGGGTCCACTTCCACTCGAGAGCGACGTAGAACAGGTTGAAGACGAAACCCCAGAAGCTCACGAACAGCACGTGCAACAGCGAGATGTTGACGCCATCTGTTGGTCGAGAGAGAGAGAAAAACCAACCAACCAACCAACCAACCAACCAAGGTCATTCTTATAATCACCATCACCATCACCATCACCGACATATAACGATAAATGGCGGAAACGGGGGCGGTGCGTGCGGTACCCTGGTCAAAGTGGGGCAGGAAGAGGAAGGCTCCGCCGGAGCCGAGGCACAGGACGAAGACCTGTACAAAGCCCGATGCCACGACGAGGAGGGTGCCGCTGAACCAGCGCGCCAACATCACCTGCTGGCACATGATGATGGCCTCGCCACCGAAACCAAACACCACCCTGCAGAGGACACGGCACGGCACAGAGAGCGCGAGTGGGTGAGCAAAACACTAGCGCCAACATGTACAACGGGTTTCCATGTAGGCGCACTCGTGAGTACCTCGAGATGAGGAGCAGCGAGATGGGCTTCTCGGGCATGTAGAAGGTGATGGCGAGCAGGATGTTGCCCAGCAGGCAGAAGATGTTGAACAGAAGCGACGAGAGGCTCAGCCCCCACTTGTCGATCAGGCTCTACACGACGTGCAGCAAAAGAAAAAGAGAGAGAAAGAGAGAAAAAGAAAACACCGCGTGAGGAAGAGACTCGGGTGGTGGTGGGGGTCCGGTGTTGGAGGGAGGGAGGGGGGAGGGGTATGTACCCCGGCGATGAAGGGCATGAAGAGGTTGGGCAGCGAGTAGAGCGAGAACATGAGGCCCAGGTCGAGGTAGGAGATGCCGAACTCGTCCATCATGAACGCCGACACCGTGCCTGCGCGCGCCAAACAAACGGTGAGACGCGCGCCTTGTTTGGAGCGATAGATCTATGGAGCAAGCGAGAGAGAGAAAGAGAGAGAGAGAACGGTGGAGCAGAGAAAGGGGCGTACTTGGTCCGTGGTAGCCCCAGTAGGGCGAGAGCGAGAGCACGGGGATGATGATGAGCAGCAGGACCAGCACCGCCGCCGACGGCTGCCGCACGCCCGACGCGTCCAGCTTGCTGCTGATGGTATTCGGCGAAGGAGCCGCCGCCCGCAGCGACTGGCCCGCCGCGGGCGTAGAGCCGCCGCCGCCGCCGCCGCCGCCGGGGGCAGCCACGGCGGGAGCGAAGGCGCTAGCGGCAAAGTCGAGTCCCGAGCCGCTACGGAAGCTGTGCGGCGGGGACAGCACCGCGTGGTGGGACGGCCCTGCGCCGGGTCCGCCGCCGGTGAAGTCGGGCACGTGATGGCCGCCGCCGTAGTTATACTCGGTGAGGGCGTGGTGGTGCGGCGCGGGCTGCGATGGCAATGCCGCGGTGGCGGCGGTAAAGGTGTCGACGACGTGGTGACCCGACACCGGAGGCTGGGCGACGTGATGTAGATCCACGCCAGCGGCGTGGTGGCCACCACCGACAAAGTGCGAGTCGGCGGCGTGGTGGTTGTCCACCGCGTGGCCGGCGTGGCCTCCGAGGTGTGAATCGAAGTGGCCGCCGGTCGTGTGATTGCCCGCGTCGCCTGCCGAGTGATTTCGATTGATGCCCAGGCCGATGGACGGCATCGCGTGCGCGTCCACGACGTGGTGGTGGTGGTTGTCGAATGCGCCGCCTGCGTGGCCGTCCGTCATGGCATGGTGGCCGAACTGATGCGAGTCGAAGCCGCCACCGTGGTGGCCGTCCAGCGTGGCCTGGATGTGATGGCCGTCATATCCGCCGTGACCTCCGAGGCTGTGATCGGCGCTGGCGATGTGTTGCGGCGGCGGCGGTTGGTGGTGGTGGTACTGATGGGCGTCTTCCACGGCGTGGTGGGTCGCGGAGAGCACAGAGGGCGCGCAGGTGGCAGCACCCGCACCAGAGGCCGAAGCCGCCGCAAGTGTCGTGGAGAGCGCGTGGTGGTGGTTGAACGGTGGCGGCTGCTGCGCAGCGAAGAGGGTTGAAGCGGCGGAGGCGGAAGAGGAAGAGCCGTGGTGAAGCGAAGAGAGAGGAGAAGAGGACGAGGACGAGATGAAAGCAGCACCAGCACCAGCAGAGGCTGATGCTGTGGGCGGCTGGTGGAGCTGGAGGGGAGGTGGCTGATGGTGCAGCAGAGGTGGTGCGGCTCCCTTGCCGCCGCCGCCGCCGCCGCCGCCGCCCGTCGTAGCCGCACCAAACGCGGAGGCCAGCGCTTGCGTTCCAGAACGCGGGCTGCGCGCGCCGGGTCCTGCTGTGTCGAGGCCGCGGCGTAAGAACAGGCGTTGGACAACGTTGCTCGAATAATTAAAATAATTAATATTAAAATAATTAAAATAATTAAAATATTAATTTTACCGATAAAAGGGGATGGAAGAGCATCTGTACCTGTGTCGGAAAGGCTGCCATCTAATCGCTGGATTTGTAGTGGCTTGTCGCCCCCGCCGGTGTGCTGCTCGAGTACGGCATTCTGGAGGTAGGGCAGGACGTCGTCGCCTCCTTCCTTGCCTCTCTTCGTTGGAGAGGATGGCATGGTGGTGGTGATACTCGAAGCCGTTGTGTGGACGTCTAATCGTTGAATCGGAAGGGGTCCTGATTCGACGCTCTGCTGTTCGAGTACGGCATTCTGGAGGTAGGGCAGCACATCCTCCTGCTCCTTCTCCTTGCCCTTGTTGATGTCGTCCATGGTGAGGTGAAATGCTGCCTTTTCATCACTCGGGACGGGTGCCTGGCCATTCATTGATTTGATGCAGTTGCCTAGGCGAAATGGAAAACCATGGTTAAAGATGGCGATTAAGGCTACAAAACCCAAATTGAAAAGAACGACGATTACCTTGCGGGGTGATGGGCGTGTCGTCGGCGCAAGGCAAGTGGAACGACGGTGATTGATGTGATGCTCGCGAAGGTAAGATGAACTGTGGGCTTGGCCACTTCGGAATGAAGGCGATCTGATCGATCTTTCGTTCAAGATCCGAGGCTGAAAATGGCTGAGGGATCGATGGAACGTTTTGCCGGCCGAGAAATATATCAAAATTAAAAAAAGAAATCGGGAGGAAGATGCGAGCGCTGCTCGGGTCGTGGCTGCCCGAACCAGACGAGTGAAGCGCAAAGACAGCCGCTTCTTCCTCCTCTTCGCTCCTCGTCGCCGCGGTAGGGTTGCGGTACCTTGTCGTTCTTTTTCCCCTTTCTCCAATCACATGCCTCACGTGCTGCCGGAATGAGTACTGGATTACTACCGACCGAGTTTTATGTAAACGCACCTTTTCCGTACTTGCGTTGGGCTTATCCTGGATTTTCCATACTCTCGCCCAATCATTGTGCGCAGAAACGTTACCCATCAAACGTTTTCGATTTGTTTCCAAATTTCTATTTTCCTTTTCTTCTAGATGTTCCTTTTGTGGGTGTCCGGCGAGAGCAGACCTGTGGGGTGGTTGTTCGCGTGAGTGAAGGCAGAGACATCGACGTGGTGCCACCGGCCATAAACACCACCGATCATGGCCGAAGGGGAGTGTGGATCCTCACCTGACTTGTAGCGGATGATGGGACTGCGTGGGGCAGACGCGTTCTTTGAAACTGGCCGTCTGCCTGATGAGTCCCACTTCACCTTGTTCTGTACCATTGCCTGCTCGCGTGTGGGCCAAGGACCATGGTCCTGGTCTTAGCTCATGTGTCCAATCATCCCCTCCCACTTCCATCCCATCTCTAGACGTGGTGGTGGTAGGGGTAGAGGGGGGGGGGTGATGGGGGTACCTCGATGCGCAGGTAGATGTCGTTGAAGGATGGTCGCAGGGCCGGGTCGTCGTGCCAGCAATCGCTGAGGAGCGACGCGTACTCGGCGGGCGCCCAGGCGGGGATCTCGAGCTTTTTGCCCTCCACGATGGCCTGGCCCGCCTCCACGGCGTCCATCTGCTCGTAGGGCGCCTTCTCCAGCAGAATCTCCCACATCACTACGCCTACACTTGCACGCGTGGTGCGGTGGTGTGGTGATAAGGCTTCTTCTTCAGTGATCGTGCGGGCAAAGTGCCATCTCATTCGTGTTATGCTATGCCATGCCATGCCATGCCATGAAAAAGGGTTGGGTTGGTGGTGGGTAGGTACGGACCGAAAGAGTACACGTCGCTTTGCTTGGACAATCGGTTCTGGCGCAGGGCTTCTGGGCTCATCCTGCGCGAAGCTGTGCGTCAGTTTCGGAGGAGGCCGCGCTAGCAGTCGCTTCCATGGTGCATGGTGGACGGGCGCACGGCTGCCGTCGTACCATTTGATGGGTCCACAGGCCTGCGAATGTGAAAAGCTGTGCCGCACCCTGCCCGACGTAACGCGCTTGGACAGCCCAAAGTCTGGAGGAGCGAGAACACAGAGGAAGGAAATCCTCAATCACCGGTGGTGTGCGCACATCACTGTTACACGCCTCCCCCCCCACAATGTCGTACCTGTCACCTTGGCCTGGTACTCTCCGTTGGAGGTGGTCACCAAAATATTGCGCCTCGCCAGGTCCTGTGAATAGCACACAGCCATAAGAGTCAAACCAAGACCACAAACGCGTTCATTCTTCATAGGCGTACACAGTGGAGGATGTTTTCGGCGTGGAGGTGGGTCATCCCCGCTGCGGTGTCCAACGCCAGCTGCAGCTTCGTGGCCGGCGACAGTGCCTCCCTCTGCCGAGGTGACATAGTGATACAGTGGTCAGACACGGACCCTCCATCCGCGCGTGCGTGTGCGCTCGTGTGTGTGTGTGTGTGTGTGTGTGTGTGTGTGTGTGTGTGTGTGTGTGTATATATATATGCAGTATCGTGTGGCGTGCCTGCATCAAGCGTTGCAAATCGCCCTGCGCGAGGTACTCGGTGACGATGCACAGGTCGGGCGGTTCGTCGCACATGCCAAAGAATTGGATGAGGTTGTGGTGTGGTCGCAGGTTCCTTGTTGGCGGGGGGGGGGTAGGGAGAAGACGGGTCAGTCACATCATGCGAAGAATGGACCAACAGAGACGGAGGAGGTGCATACATGATGATGTCCATTTCCTTTCTGAAATCGTTCAACTCGGACCCGGTCAGCTTGCTCTTATGGAACAGCTGCTTCACCACCACTGCAATACGTTTGCGGCGTGTGTGTCGTGTTTGCGTCGTGTGGGAGTGTGGGTGTGCGCGCGCGTGTGTGTGGGTGAGTGCGGTTTATGTGGTGAAGCCAAGGTCCAAGCAGGGCGTGGGTGGTGCAGCACCCTTGCTGTTGCGCCACTTGGCGAGGTAGACGATGCCGAAGTCGCCCATGCCGATCTTGCCCAGCAGCTGCAGTTCGGAGTAGGGGATCGTCCACCGCGATTTCATCTCTCTTTGCATCTCCACCATCAGCACCTTCATGGTGTGTGCGTGTTACGTGTGCGCCACGCGTGAGTGAGGGAGGGGAGGGGGCATTAGCCAAGTCAAGCCAAGCCAGGCCAAATGGCCATTTGAGGGCACGAGCGAGAGCCTACCTTGTGGGAGTCGGGGAGCAGGCCATTGCCTCGGTGCCCCATATCGCTCAGTGTGGGGCGGTGCGCCCGCTGCTTCTCCTCCTCCTCGGCCTCCTCGTCCGATGGTTCGTGTGCGGCGGGCGCCAAGCTCATGCGGCTCTCGGCCAGCACCAGCTTGGCGCGCGGTCGCAGACTGAGCTCTTGGTAGTCGGCCACGCCCTCGCGCGCGGCGGCCTCCATGGTGTCGGCCGTAGCGTCGACGGTGATCTCTGGCAGCTTGCTCCGCCGGCCCTCCCACGACTTGCTTCGCGTTAGCACCCGGCCGCCGCCACCTCCGTCGATGATGCTGCCGGTGCCGGTGTTCTCGTCGACCGCACCGCTCGCTCTGGTCTCTGTGATGCTTGCTTCGTTGATGGTGATTGTGGTGTTGGTGACGTTGGTGGTGGTGGTGATGAGGTTGCTTCTGCCGCCGGTTGGGTCTTCGTAGTCGTCGGCCACGGCATCACCGCCCTGCCGGGTATCCCACGGCACGCTTTGGCTCCTTCGCCAGGCGGCCGCCCTTGACCCTTCCATGCGCTGGGCGTCGCCCTGAGGCGAGTCGGCCTTGCTCCAGGCCTGCGCGGGCTTTGGCGGCATCGCCGAGAGAAGAGACAGCTGGGGAGAGACTGCCTTCCGTGGCGATGGCGGCGGCGATGGCTCGAGCTCTAAGACCTGGACGAGCGTCGCCAGACTCGCGTAGTTACCTTGCGACATTGCCAATCGCTGCGGCGACTGCGGCAGCGGAGGCGACGGCGAGGTGGTGATGCTGTCATGACTGCTCGCCAGATCGTCGTCGAGACTGGGCTGTAGTGGCGATGACGAGGGCGACGACAATAGTGACAGCGATACTGGAGGCGAGGGTTCGACGTTCCTCTGCGAGAGCCTCCCGGCGTCCGGTGTACTGCGAGCGAGCCAGCCAGCGCTGGAATTCGAGAAGCCCTCAGCACAAGTGCATATGTGTTGTGGTGTGTTGTACTGCAGAGATGGAGGACGTGCGAGAGAGGTGAGCGGTGATTCGTACCCATGGGGCTGCTGCTCCTGGTTGCGACGTGGGGCGGAGGCTCGCGAGGACTGGGCGAGGAGTGGGACGGGCACGTTGTTGCTCTTTCCCAGCACCGGCCGCTCGCACTGCCGGATGCGCGCGTCTGGCGTGAAGGCGACGCTGCGTGGTCGCTGCCATAGCGTGCTGCTGTCATCGGCGGGGGGCGGCTCCTCCATCTCCACACAAGATACAAGTGGTACTTAAACCTGGTGTGCTTCTGTGGGGTGCTGCTACCAGAGAGGTAAAACAGGGCAACCACGGAGCCGACAAGATCGAGAGGAATCAAAATCGTGGTGAATGCAAAGGAAAAAAAGGAGGAAGGGCAGGTTACCCTTTGGGGAGCTCGACGGTGTCAACGCCCGGCTGTAGCTGGTAGGAAGAGGAGATAGGGTTTTCAAGTGGTGGCGTTCTGGCGTTCTTGCCACTTGACAGTGTCACTCAGCCAGGAATGGAAAGCATGGCGCCATAAAAGGCAAAACCAGTTGTCCTACGCGATATCCCCCCCCCCGAAAAAGAGAGGGGAGGGGAGATGGCATCGTCATCGTCATGGCCCGTACGTGATAGCAGGCCCCTCACGGCAGGCCTCGCACTCCTCTTCTGCAAGCCGCGCGATGGTCTTCGCTTCCTTCTTCATTGAGAGACAAAGGAAAAGCTGCAAAACTACAAACACACTTTGTGTGCACATACATGGTAAGTATGTATTATTGGTGGAAGGTTGCTTCAGGGCCTGACCCTCTTGAGGGCTGCGAGGGTGGTCAACACAGCCGACATGTTCTTGGCTGAAAAAAAAAAAACACACGACACACAGCTCTTGACGTCAGCACGACGGGCATGTGCATTCAACCGCGGATCGCAAGGGGGAGGCAGGCGCGCGCACGCACCCTCGAAGAGATCGACGGTCTGGAAGAGCTCGTTGGTGCGGAGGCCCATGCTTTGGGCGGCGCTCAAAAAGGCGGCAATATTTTCCTGCGTGCGTGCGTGCGTGCGTGCGTGCGTGCGTGCGTGCGTGCGTGCGTGCGTGCGTGCGTGCGTGCGTGCGTGCGTGCGTTGGTAAGTCGGTGGGGGCGTTGCCAGAAAAATGCGTGCCAAATCTAGCGGGAGGCCATGTGATGGTAATACATACCATTTGGACAAAGGGTGCAGCGGCCTTCTGGATCCTGGGCACCGAGCGGGGCTGGAGGGCATTGGCGAGCCTGCAGGCGTTCGAAGCGTACGGCCATCCAATCAGATTCCCATTTACCAATTACCCACACGGCATACACACACAACATTTACAAATAAATAATCGACGAATAGGGATGAGACACGCACTCGCAAAGCTTGACGCCGTTCTTGAGCTCCGAGTGCAGGTCACCGTGAACGGGCACTCCCTTGCGGGCCATCCACTGCCTGCGTTGTGCCACGGCCGTTGTGTTAGAAGGTGAAGTGAAAAGAGACGCGAAACGCAGCCACAGCCACCCTCCTTGTGAGATCCTTCCACGCACACGCCACACGCACATGGTGGTGCACATGACACACGCACATGCGCCCGCCTAGGTGGTGAGGTTCATGAACGCACCGAACCTCGGCGTCCATGCCGGTGTCGTACTTGGAGTCCATCTTGTTCTTCAGCTCGGCGTCGAGACCGTACGAGGGGCCATGGAAAGCACCGCTACACACCACACTCCGATTAATTAGGAGGCGCCCCAATGGCCGCGCGCGGTCTCAGGGACCAATAGAAAGGTGCAAGAAGGGCCGCGTACGCCTGCTGCTTGGCGGTGGAGTCGCCGATGGGCACGCGAGAGGCGGCGACAGTGGCAGCACCCGAGTACGCGTGGTGGCTGCTTAGCGAGGAGCGGCGATTAGCAGACCGAATATACTAGATATATTATTTCTAATTCATATATATATATAGAGGGCAGGGCCAAGTACCTCGAAGCAGCGGGGGCAGCTGCCGATCGCGAGAATAATATAAATATTATCGTATACGATTGCACAAAGAGAAAAATTAGCTCCAACAAGAAGTAAAATCGACGGCAGATGGAGTGTAGGAGGCGCAAAAAAACCGCTAAATTGCCAGCTTGGGCAGTAAATCTTCATCCAGGCAAGGAGAAAGCCGCGTTACCTCGAGAAGTGGACGGGCTGGAGTACGAAGGGGCAGGGGCAGCGGCGCCGGCGAGCTTGTTGCCGCACGAGGAGCAGAACTTGGCACCAGCGTCGTGAGGAGTACCGCACTGCGAGCAGAAAGGCATCGTTGTTTTTTGGTGTTGGTGGATGGGTGGAGGGCGAGGGATATCGATGCGAACGGGTTTCCGGATAGCAGCAAAACGAAGAAGCCAAAACGCGCCAAAGCAAGAACTCTCTCGTATCCACCCTCCGCTCATTGGCCCCAGACCCAAATTGACATTTTTATCATTCCTGATAAATGCCAAAAATATTTCAGACGGCCGCCCACGTGCTGCTGCCGCTTCTAACCCTAGAGCAGCGGCTGTGCCGGGGCACCACGCTTTGAGGGAGGGCCACTTGTTGATTCCAGTGGGAGGAGGTCTTCATTCATCGTCGTCGCTTTGCACACAACGGAGAGGGAAAATGGCGGTTCTGCTGCCTGGTCGCCACCACTGCAGCAGCGGTGTCGCGGCTTCAGAGGTCGCGGTACTTGTCGCAGGCGCGCACCAGTCCGTCCACGATGCCGGGCTCCTTGGCGCTGTGGCCCGCGTCTGCTCACAGGGCGTCCCATCAGCCCCATCGCTGGCCCGACACACACCGCCGACGAGGGAAGGGGGTAGGTGGAGTACCGGGAACGACCACCAGCTCGGACGACGGCAGCACCTTGTGCAGGTCCCACGCTAGGAGTAGGAGTAGGAATGGTGGTTAGAGCACAAGTGTCGAACAACCAACAGAGCACGGGTCAGCTGTCACCTCCCGCCAGCAAAGCAAATTGACCGGTACGTACCGGTCTTCATGGGGCACACGAGATCGTAGCGTCCCTGCACGATGGTCACGGGGAGGTGGGCCAGCTTGGCGGCCTCCTTGATGATCTGTCCGTCTTCCTGTAGTACCATTATATCGCGAGTTCAATGCAACCGTTCATTCACACAACGCGCGTGAGGGACTCTGCTCACAGTGGTGCATTTGGTGCACTGGTGGAGGCGGGGGCAGGCACCTTGAAGAAACCGCCGTGCACAAAGTAGTGCGACTCGATGCGCGCGAACGCGAGGGCGAACTTGTCGTCCTCGGCGGCCCGCGCCACGTAGTCGGGGTCCACGTAGAGGCGGCTCGTCGTCATCTCCCTGATACACCAAGCCCCCATACGTCGTGCGCATGTGTGCGTCGTTAGGCCGTGGCCCATTGGCGACCTCTCTTTTTCTGTGTTGGTGGAGGCGCATGGGAGAAAGCCACGGTCCGGGCGGGAGAGAGAGGTACCAGACGCTCCAGGCGGTGGCGCACTCCTGCTTGACCTTGTCGTCGTTGCCGGTGAGGCGGCGGTAGTAGGCCGACATCAGGTCTCCCCGCTCCACCTCCGGAATCGGGGCCAGGTACTGCACCGCCATTTATCGGGGTCGAGGTGAAGAGGTGTGTCGGTGTGTGTGTGTCGGCGTGTGTGTGTGTGTCGGTGTGTGTGTGTCGGCGTGTGTGTGTGTGTCGGTGTGTGTGTCAGAATCCGCTGGAAATGGCCGCACGACTCCGCCTGTGGGTGCAACACGTACCTTTTCCCAGGCATCGGGGAACAGCCACGAGGAGCCCTCCTGGTAGAAGAACAGGAGCTCGCTGCGCCGCAGCCCGAAGATGCCCCGCAGCACCAGGCCCTTCACCTGGTGCGCCGCGAACCAGTTCACCCCCCCCACGCCACGTGCCGAACCGATGTCAGCCAATTTGGACTTGTTCAGCGCGCGTCGCCAGACAGAGCGCGCACCTGTTCGGTGTGGGCCTCAGCGTAGGCGAGGGCGAGGGTGGAGCCCCAGGAGCCGCCGAAGACGAGCCACTTGTCGATGGCCAGGTGCTGCCGCAGCTTCTCCATGTCCTCCACGAGGTCCCACGTCGTGTTCTCCTGCTCGGACCCGATGTGGGGGGGGGAGAAGTGGGGTCCGTCAGGCCAACGGCCCTTATGTGAAGGAGCGAGGAGAAGGAGAGGGAGAGGGAGGGGGGGGGGCGAACCTCGAGACAGGCGAAGGGGGTGCTTTGGCCCGAACCGCGCTGGTCGAACAGGACGATCTTGTAGGCCTCCGGATCAAAGTACTGCCTGTTTATGTGTGTTTGGGGGGGGGGCAAGACATTAAAGCGGTGAGGCGTCAGCGTTTCTTCCTGCTGCGGTGGAAACTATCGACTTCGCACCTGTAGTAGGCAGCGATGCCGCCGCCAGGGCCGCCATGCACCACGACGACGGGCTTGCCGTTGGGGTTGCCGCACAACTCGTAGTAGAGCTCGTGGATGTCGCTCACCCTCAGCCTGGGGCATGACAGCCGCGACCACGCGTGAGCCTGGAAGTGAGCGCTTTGGGGGGGGGGTAGGGATCAAGTGCACGAGGTACCGTCCGTGGGAATAGGGCTCGATGGGCGGATAGAGGTCTCGCCTGCTGCTGCTGCTGCTGCTGGTTGACGCGGGAATGGCGGCCATCTTCTTCTGGCTGTGGCGAGGCAGAGCCTATTTCTTTGGGGTCTGGCTTCGTTTTCGAAACGATTTCAGACGCGTTTGGGCGCTGGGATTATTTCGAGCTGAAAATTTGACATTGTCGCACAGCAGTTTGCATCTGTGGTCGTGCGAGGTTTAGAGGCCAAGCCGTGCACGTGTTGTCATTGTTGCTTCCTCCTCTCGTGCGCCAGAATGAGTGGGTGGACGTGCGAGGTGTGCACCTTCCTCAACGACGACGCCCTCCCCTCCTGTGAGATGTGCGAGGCCAGCCGCCCCGCGACTCCCTCCTCCGCAGCCCAGCAGCAGCCCAGCCTCCTTCCTCCTCGAAGTACCGCCTTCCCCCTTTCCTTTTGTACCACGAAAGGCTATCCCCATTTATGTTAGTTATTTATCTATCAGAAAGAGTAGTTGTCGGTGGGCCTTTGTTCACAAACATGGTGGGGTGGTGGTGACCGACCACCACAGGGGTGGCCCAGGCGGTGGCGCAGTGGCCGGACGACGACAAGGCAGAGCGAGAGCCCTTTGTCGTAGACGACGACGACGACGGCTCTGGCCACCCCTTCGCAAGGGACGCCGACTTCTGGCACTGCACGCTGTGTACCTTCCTCAACAGCAACGTACGTTGTACCCATCCTCCTCTTCCTCCTCCCTCCCTTCCTCCCTCCCTTCCTCCCTTCCTCCCTTCTACGTTGTTGCCTATACGTCGCCCTCTCCATCATTCTCTTCTGCTTTCCCCGCCCGATGGGGCTGGCTCGAAGTGTGTATGCTCACCTCCACCTCCACCTCCTCCTCCCTTTTATCTTTTTTTTATTGTTCTCCGCAAAGGGTCGCAGCCAGTGCGAGATGTGCCAGTCGGCTCGGCCGGGGACCAGCCCAGCCTCCCCGTCGGTACTGTACAGCTTTTGCTCCGCCCTGGTGGCCGCCCAGACACAGTGGCCGGGGCGATTGTCGTTTGACTCACCTGGCGCCGCGATCGTGGCAGCGACAGGCATCGGGCGGAGGCGCCGCATCGGCGCACGGGTGGCCCGACGACACTGACGACATCGACGAGGCCAGCGATGACCACAACGTTCACGACAGCGCCGGTACTCCTCCTCCCCACCCTGTCTACCTCCTGTCTGCCTCCTCCTCCTCCTCCTTGTTTGTTCGTTCGTTCGTTCGTTCGTTCGTTCGTTCGTTCGTTCGTTCGTTCGTTCGTTCGTTCGTTCGTTCGTTCGTTCGTTCGTTCGTTCGTTCGTTCGTTCGTTCGTTCGTTCGTTCGTTCGTTCGTTCGTTCGTTCGTTCGTTCGTTCGTTCGTTCGTTCGTTCGTTCGTTCGTTCGTTCGTTCGTTCGTTCGTTCGTTCGTTCGTTCGTTCGTTCGTTCGTTCGTTCGTTCGTTCGTTCGTTCGTTCGTTCGTTCGTCTCATAGCGCCCTCTCGTTGTTGGCCCTGCCTGGTCCCCCTCTTTGGAAACTGATTCGCGTGCGTGCGTGTGGCATGTCATGTGTGCGTGCGTGTGTATCATGTCATTGTGCCGCGTAAATCGTCGCGCGAGCAGAAGTGGCGGCCTTCAGGCAGCGGTTCAACGGGTGGAAGACGAGGAGCGAGGGCAGTGGCAAGGAGTGGGATCTGTCGCTCACGGACGTGTTCGCGTTCAAGAGCCGCCACGAGGTCCACCTGCTTCTCACCGAGACCTACCACGTCGACCCGGCCACGTCCCCCTCCTCCTCCACTTCGTCGGCGGCGCAGCCCGAACGGGAGAAGAAGGACAAAGGGAAGGGCAAGAAGGGCGGTGGACCCCTCTCGCTTCTCTCCCGCGGCCGAGGCGGCAAGGCCAAAGAAGACCACGGCGACGAGGGCGACGAGGGCGACGACAACGACGACACTGACAACGCGCCCATTCTCGGCTCCGCTGACGACGAGGTCAAGAAGCAGAGCAGCAGCAGCTGCAGCAAAACGGATAAGCGCAGCAACAACAACAAAAAGGACAAGTCGCCGGGCCGAGGCCGAGGCCTGCTCGGGCTGGGCGGTCGCGGCGGCGGCGGCGATGGGGCCAAGCCGAAAAAGGTGGAGCGGCACATCGACCTCATCCTGCAGATGCCCGCCCGCGGCAACACGGACAGCGTGTACTTCCTCGAACGCGTCAAGCGCGACAAGGACGACCTCGCCACCATACGGTATACACACGTCTCCATCACCTCCTCCACCTCCTCGTGCGAGCATGACCCGTGCCCACCTTACACACGCACACGCATCGCCGCACACGGCACACACGACACGCACACAGACCGGGCCAGGAGCTGAGGGCCAGCGAGGCGGGAGGGCGGGGCATCAAGGTGTCCGACTGGATCAACGACGTCAACGAGTTCCTCATCGAGCACTCCATGCAGGACGAGGCGCCCCCGCTGGGCTACCACCACCACCAGCCCCTCTACTTGCCCACCCAGGCACGCACCTCTTGCTCCCCCCTTTAAAGGTAGCCCGTCCGCTCAGTGATGTCTCTTCCTTTGTGCCGTGTGTGTGTCGTGTGTGTGTCGTGTGTGTGTCGTGTGTGTGTCGTGTGTGCCGTGTGTGTCGTTTGTGTGTCGCGTGTGAGATCTGCAGGTGCAGGCGCTCACGCTGGAGAGCATTCTGTCCAGGATGATGCAACTCTTTGACGCCCGTAAGCAGAAGCTAAAGGATGCGAAGGCCCATTTCGAAAAGGTCATGCGCGACCAGGAGCTGCTCAAGCGGGTATGTGGTGCCGCATCTGCCCTGCCCTTGGACGCATTGTCCGCCGTAGCCGCGCTGCTCGTGGCGCACGTTGGCCGCTCACCACCTCGTGCATCGTGCATGGCCCGCGCTTCCATGATCGATCGTCGTACAACTCTCGCAGTTCGACGACGACTACTTTGGCAAACGCGAGGCCTACTACCACAAGGCGAGCACGGGTGCGCCTCCCTCTCGCTAACCCACTCATCCACGCGTCCACGCGTCCACGCGTTCTAACGGTGTGCGCGTGTGTCGCGTGTATCGTCGTGTGTTGCGGGTGCGCGTGCAGTGGAGCCTTCGGGAATGAAGGCGCACCTGGAGGCGTACGGGATAACGCAGGAGGTCAAGGCCATGCACGGCATCTGCGGCAAAAAGTCCCTGCGCCTCTCCAAGGACACCGGACAGGT